CTATGAGGGTCACTATGAGCCTAAACCAACTGAGAGGGCATTAACAACAACATATCTGGGGTGGAAATGCAATTCTTAGCTGGGTGTCAAACGAATGAACCAGTTCAAAGCCCTGATATTAACACATCTACCATATTCTTTTCTGCAAATCTGGAGCGGGTTTTTGTTTTATCTTTATGTTTTGCACTCATTTTTGTTTTAAACAAAACACATATGTTTAGACATAAAGAGACCCCTACTGATTTCGTACAACATGTTTACACAAGCACCATCTCTGATGGAACGTTATTTATATTCTCTTACGTAACCAGAAAACTGGCCCTTTCTATAGCTTGGGAAGTTCAGAATCAAAGATCTCACTGTTAACAGCCCACAGAAATTCCACCTCAATCTTTAAGGGAAATTACAACTATGTTGTAATCCAAAATGCCACAGGTCAAACTGTCCGCAAAGTATTTAATTCATTCCAAACTTCTCAGGAGAAACAAAGGAAGGATATATGAATTCTTCCGTGAACACAGAGGTGACACTTTCACTTTGGCTGAACTGAAGTAGAAGAGTCAATTCCTAGAGGTTGTGACCGCCTCTGGAATGACGTCATGGAGGGAGGAAGTCTGTGTACAAAGTCCTAAATCCTAAACAATAGCCGTGAGGTCTCCGGGAGCTGGCCCAGCAGGCCTGTGGCTAAGTTTCTCCCTGTTTGCAGGGCTGCTCAGGACTGGATTATCAGCGATCCGCTCTCAGGCAGAGTCTGTGGTCTGAGTTTTTCATTTCCTGTATCAGCTATCAGGAATGCATGCTTTGTGCTGACTTAGAGGTAACTTTTTGTCTCTATTAGTACTCTGATTTCAACACCCATGGCCTTAAACAAGATGAAGGACTTGAAAATTGAAGAACAGGAACGTATAACTGTGGACTATGTGAAGGGAATTCTTCAACCCACCCCCACCTGTGAAGTCTGGGATCAAATCTGGAACTTCCAAGCCAAACCTGATGATTTGCTGATTTCTACGTATCCTAAAGCAGGTAGGTGGGAAGGGGAGGGGACAAGGGAGCTGGGAAATAAAGAAGCTGATCTCCTGGGCTTGAATAAAAAATTTAGTAGGCAGAGTGATGTGGTCAAGACAAGTTACTTGTAGAAACTAAAAAAGGAACTGCATAAGAAACATGAAAATATTGCACACATTTTAAGAATTGAAGTCTTCATGTGATGTGTGGTGTTTTCCACTCCCGGGGAACCGCCCAGAACAAAAGGGCTAGGCTTGTTTATTTTCTGTTCCCAATCTAGGCCCTATTGCCTGTCTGGAAAAGAAAAGGCTGCTTTTGAAGTGTGAGCTAGAAAGGCTGACGTGGAAAAGTCATAGGGGAGCTTTGGTTCTGCAATACTGATCTCACCTTAGCAGCCCTCAGGAGCCGCATCTCAGGGTTCCAAATGTTTTCTTTTGGATTCTACCTTCCTCCTTGCTATGTTATGAACCTACTTCTTTTATTTTAATAATCTGTTTAATAAAATTGTCCGTAAACAAGTCAGCCTAACTTGAGGCCAGCTATTGCATCACAAAAACTTTGGGATGAGCAGAGGGAAATAGTTCTTGAGAGAAAATTGTATGCATCTACGTATGTGCTAAGAATATAGTAGCTAACCCACTCCCAGATGTATATATACAGCTCCCATTTGGCAAAGCAAGCTTTCTGTCAGTAACTCTTGGCCTCCCACACACCCACCCAAAGTCTAAAACCAAGTTTTGTTCCTTTATCTCTGTAGTTTCTAAGAAGGGGGGGGAGGGGGGAGGAGTAGAGGAGGGGGAGCACCTTGTCTCTCAGTCCATCAGGAGCAAATCTGTGCTGATTTCCCAATCTTATTCCCCAGGGGCCTATTCCAGATTACATTTTCCGAAATGAAAATTTCTAAACACAGTCTCTGACTAGAATAAACTCTCCCTACCTTGATTTCATAAGGAGCTCTGGTAGCGTAATGTTTACGAATCGGGCTGCTAATCTCATGGTCAGCAGTTCGAAACTACCAGCTGTTCCGCAGGAGAAAGATGAGGCAGTCTGCTCCCATAAAGATTTACAGCCTCAGAAACACTGTACAGGGTCACTATGAGTCGGAACCGACTCCACGGCACATAACAACAACAACAACAACCACCTTGATTTCATTGAGGAGTCCTGGTGTGGCACTGGACTGCTAACCACAAATCACTCCTCAAAAGCCCCACACTGAGCCACTATGCGTCAGAACCGACTCACTGGCACCTAACAACACCCTTCATTTCATACCTAAAGTCCACAACGCTACTGGAGTTTTATCATTTTAGTACAAGGTTTAATAGTTCATCGTTTCTGCAGCTGCCAAATGTGAGCATTAAGATGCATTCACTGAGGGATTTCATGGTGTTAGTGGATTTTGAAATTTAAGAAAATTTTTTAAGAAAGCAAAAAGCTTGTAGCTAAAGTAATAATCGTGACAAGTAGCACTCCGGCTGCACTTCTTCCAAGACAGATCGCTTTGTTCTTCGGGCAGTCCAAACTGTCAATATTCTTTCCCAACATCGTAAGGCAAATCCATCTGTCGGGTTTGGGGCCCTTCCAAGTACATAGGTTCTGAGAGATCGGAAACCCACAGCCAGCTCTCACTCTGAGAGACACTAGTTTACTACAAAAAAAAAAAAGAATAAAGAGTAAGGGAGGTGATTTACCAACCAGAGAATTCCCCCTACAAAGGGTGAAACACAGTGTGTCTGGTGGCAGCTGGCTGGATCCTTACTGTCACTGCTCAAGGGGCTGGGCACCATGGTGTAGTCACAGTGTAAGGGCAGTCAGGAGTCCTGGGATGGCACTGCAGGAGAACGTACTGGACCATAAGGCCAAACCCATCAGGCTCTAGGAAACTGATACGGGGTCACTATGAATCAGAAACAACTCAAGGCACTTAACAACCTTTGTGGGACTTTGTGGGACTAGGAGAGGTAGGAAAGTCAAAGGACTTTCAGCAAGCAAGGTCTGGAGGAGGGGCTGTAGGCTCCCTCCGAGCATAACTGATGTACAACAAGATAGCAGGAGGAACAGGCAACTTAGACATTGGCTCTGGTAGCGTAGTGGTTATGACTCAGGCTGCCAACCTCAAGGTCAGCAGTTCGAAACTACCAGTGGTTCCGCAGGAGAAAGATGAAGCTTTCTGCTCCCGTAAAGATCTACAGCCTCGGAAACCCTGGAACCAACTCTATGGCACTTAAACCTAAAATGAGGGGGTGACCGGCTTACAAGGTCTCAAAGGGGAGTTTAGTTTAAGAGTGGGTGTGGGGCCGGGGAAGATAGAGTCCCCACTGAATAGCTTTCATCTTGTCTAGATGAGTCTGGTGAAAGGAGATGGGGATACAATTCTTATGATTCAGTAGTAATTGTTATCATGACTAATTGCAACTGTCATAATTGTTAAGGTAGAAGTTTTGTAACAAAAAATGGGGGGAGCAGTTAATCTTACAGTCCAGAAACAGAGGACCCTAGGACCATCAAGGGAAAAGAGCACAAGCAGAATGCGGGGCCCTATCCAGAGAAGCAGCGACTCCAGAGATGGGGACAAGGTGAGAGGGAGCAGCTGAGGACTCTAGATTCATGGAAAGAGAGGGACTGAGAGCTGGCGGTGAGGAGACAGACTTGCAGACTGTGCTCTTTGGTGGTGTAAATTATTATATATGCCTGAGTGTTTAAAAAAGAGGGAGAGAGAGAGCTAAAGTGAATAGAGAGAAATCCTGGTAACTGATGGTACACGGAGGGGATTATAACCATTGTAATGAAACAAGGTGTATGATTTGTTGAATGTAAAATTAATGATCTGGTCTGTAAACTTTCACTCAATTCACAATAAAAACTTATAAAAAGATAGCAGGAGGAGGGGCTGTCTGCTCCCTTCTAGACAGCAGGAGCTGGGGAAAGGGACAGGAGACATGGTTTTGAGGTGACCTTGGCGTGGTCATTTTGGAGCATTAAGTTTATGTCCCTCAATGCCAATTATTCTATTGTCTTCCCTATTTGTGGTCTAACTTTCACATGCATATGAGGCGACTGGGTCGGGCACAGTCCTTAAACTGATATCTTTACTCTTGAACACTTTAAAGAGGTCTTTTGCAGCCTAATGCAATATGTCTTCAGATTTCTTCACTGCCCCTTCCATAAGTATTGACAATGGATCCAAGCAAAATGAAGTCTTTGACAAATTCAACCTCTTCTCCATTTTTCATGATGTTATTTATTGGTTCAGTTGTGAGGACTTTTGTCTTCTTTGCATTGAGGTGCAAAGCACACTGAAGATTGTAGTCTTTGATCTTCATCAATAAGTACTTCAAGTCTCCTTTGCTTCCAGTCAGCAAGGTTGTGTCATCTGCATATGTAGGTTGTTAATGAGTCTTCTAGCCAATCCTGATGCCATGTTCTTCTTCATGTAATCCAGATTCTCAGCTTATTTGCTCATCATAGATTGAGTAAATATGGTGAAAAGATACAACCTTGATGCACACATTTCCTGACTTTAAACCAGTCAGTATCTCCTTGTGCTTGATCCATGTACAGGTTCCTCATAAGCACAATGAAGTGCTCTGGAATTCTCATTCTTCACAATGGTACCCATAGTTTGTTAGGATCCACACAGATGAATGTCTTTGCATAGTTAATAAAGCACAAGCAAACATCTTTCTGGTATTCACTGGTTTTAGCCAACCTGCCTCTGATGTCAGCAATGAGATCCCTTGTTCCATATACTCTTCTGAATCTGGCTTGAATTTCTGGCAGCTTCCTGTTGATGTACTGTTGCAATCGTCTTTGAATTCTCTTCAGAAAAAACATTACTTGCGTGTGATTCTGTGAGAAACATTGTCAATACCCCAGATACTGCCTCGGTTCCTCTTGGTTATGAATTCACCGATGAGTTATCACAGGTGCTTACCAACAAACGCTCAAGGAATCTAATCTGTACTCACTTTAGCGAGAGTGAGGTTTTCTTTATTCAATTTTACAAAATCGGGGGCCCAACACAACAGACACGGGCAGACACTCTGCATGGCTGCTCACAAAGAGTTTTATTCCCCTGTCTCAAGAGGCCCTCCCCCAGTTAGTATGGGGTTCACAATCTAGCCCAGATGGCACCCACGGCCTTAATGACTGGATTTTTATCTAAAGTTCCTAGTCCTAGAAGAGATTTCTCTTTCCCCTCCCCTAATTCAACCTGTTCACATACCCCTGGGTGTGAATCAATAAACTATGTCAGGCTTAGCAATCTCGTGTGCCCTTTATTCCTGAAGATGGACCATCTTGAATTTCTCACAATATTAATGATTTTGTTCAATTACTTCTGTATTCTGTTGGGTCACCTTTCTTTGGAATGGACACAACTATGAATCTCTTCTAATCAATTTCCCTGTCATGGATGAGTGGGCGCCTCCAGTGTTGTATCAGTTCTTTGAACATTTCTATTTGTATTCCATCGATTCCTGGAATCCTGTTTTCCACCAAGGCCTTCAGTACAATGGGGACGTCTTCTGTCAACACTATTGGTTCTTGATTGGATGCTACCTCTCAAAATGATTGGACATCAACCAATTCCTTTTGGTGCAGTGACTATGTCTTCCTTCCATCTTCTCTTGATGCTTTCTGCATCATCCAATATTTTACCCATAGAGAAGCCTTCAATATCGCAATCTGAGGCTGAATTTTTTTCTTCAGTTCTTTCAGCTTGAGAAATGCTGAGCGTGTTCTTCCTTTTTGGTTTTCTAACTCCAGTTCTTCACTTCTTTAGGATGCAGGACTATAATTACTTGATTTCTAATTTACACCCTTATTGTAGACCTTCCAAAGCGCCAACTTGAGCGTATGAGAGAAGAGATCTATAGGAAGACTTGCTGCCAGACAATGTGGGAAATAGCAGCCCATGTCTAGGAAGAAGGACTTTCAAACCATTTCAGAAATCCATCCTAAAATTGTCTAACATCCCATTTGGATTTTATCAGGATTAAACACAGACACAGACTGGAAGGAGGCTATTGAGGCCCGGGGGGCGGGGGTGGAGATGGGTGGGTAGCAATGGGTATGCTCTCGCCTTTAAAGTAGTGAGCAGCTGAATGGTCTTGGCAACGATTTCTCCCTGTGAGGTCACATCACCAGTCACTGCCTCTGAAGTAGCACCCCTTCCTCCCTTCTGCCTTCCAAACCTCAAGCTCATACATTCTATTCTACATAGCATCTCGAACCTTAGAGGCAAGGAGGTCTTGGAAACTTCACACTTAAGCCTTTCAGCTCCTGATATAAGAGGAAACTGGCAAGAAGATGAAAACAGATACTGAGTACAAATGACTATTCACTCATTCAGCTATCATATACGTCTGTTGTTGTTGTCACGTGCCATTGAGTCAGTTCCGGCTCATAACAACCCTGTACAGGTCTTCCAAGGAGTGGCTGCGGTCCAGCGCTTTATCCCAGAGCGCCACACCACGACTCTTCTAGGGCAGATCTGTGCCGCATGCTTGGAAACCATCTGGACACCACACACCACGCAGTCATTACCCTAGGAGTGCCTATTCTATTGAGAAAGACCTTCAAATTCTTCCTTCTCCCTTTCTTAAAAACCATAAATCTAACTGAATCATATGACAACCCAAGTTAATAATTACGACAAAAATAAATAAATAAATAAACTGCTTATGTACCTATCTAATGTCTAGCTTTGCCCTACTGAAAATCTGAATTATGGTAGGACAAGATAGAAATAAGGAATGATGGTTTCTGAATCCTTAATTCACATATGTATTCTGCTGTGATCTGATCAGAGTTTCAGAAATGTGACATGCTAATTATCTGTGCTTCCTCATCTTACATGTGGACTAAGGAACAACATGGGCTCAGGAGATAGTGGACTTAATACAAAATAACGGTGATATTGAGAAAAGTAAACGAGCACCAATTCACGTACGAATTCCTTTCATCGAATGGGTACACCCAGCAATAGGATCCGGTGAGTATTGGATTGCCACACTTAACTACAGCCCTAAACATACACTCAGGATTTTTACTATCAAAAAGGCCTTCCCAAAATCCTAGGCGTTCAAACGATTATTGATAGCTTTTACGGCTATATCATTTTTGTAACTGTGCCTGCATTTCTATACTAATACATTTTCCAATGGAGTTACTTTTAAAAAATAAAATAAGTTAGCAAAAGCAATTAAAATGTTAAAGGTAAGTTAAAATTTTATCTAATTAAAATTTAATTCCATTCTATAAGGAAGAGTCCAACAAGATAATTTCATGGTGGAAAAGTTATATATAGTGTTTTATTTATTTGGTTCGATGTTGATCTGGTTAGAAATGCCTGCAGTCAAAAACTGATTAATAATCTCGACATGGTGTCTCAGATCAGATTTATAGATGGTTACAGCTCTGGTATCATCCCTACCATCATAATAATGGAAGTGGCAAGATTTTGAAGCAAATAGAGACAAAAAGTGGGGACATGACTAAAAGCCAGTTTTTCAGGTTTGGAAAAGGCTAATGCTCTGCCCTCACCACGGACTCTGAAAACTCATCTGCCCATTGACCTGTTGCCTCCGTCCTTTCTGGAGAAAAACTGCAAGGTAAAGAACAAGAGAAGTTCAAGTTAGTCTACTCAAAGTATCCTTGAAGTGGGTCCAATTTCCTCTTCAAACACCTCACCTGATGTTTTAATGGGGGCAGTGGGGACTATAACTACATTAAAATGTGTGGGAATCCTTTTCATCTCCCACAAAAGCTAGGATCACAAGAATCAGCATTAAAAAGACAAAGGAAATGTGACCATGGATGAATCTGGACATACTGTTGTTAGGTGTCTTCTCACAGCCACTCTGTATAGTTTCCAAGGGGCTGCTGGTGAGTCTGAACTGCCAACCTTCTGTCCAGTGCTTATGCTACAGTGCCCACCAGGACTCCAGTTGCTGAGTGAAATAAGTCAGTCACAAAAGGACAGATAGTGCATGAGACCACTATTAGAAAAAGTCAAGAAAAGGTTTATGCACCTAAAGAAATAGTCTTTGATGGGTACGAGGGATGGGAGTAAGGAGGAGAAAAAATCACTAACAGATAGTAAACATGAATGAGAGGACTTCAAAAGTTCATGGGAAAATTGCATTATCTTTTAATTCCATTTTTCGTGAACTTTTTGAAGTCTCCTCATTGAACTTGAGTGAAAGGAAAGGAAAAACACAATAAGGGGGAAGTCATCAGCACATGGCCAAGGTAAAGAAGACACTGGGGACTACTCCTGAGGAGAAGACAAAAGTAAATGCTATCACATACACAACTCCGCATTAACAGCAATGCTGTTGTTGTTAAGTACCGTGGAGTCGGTTCTGACTCATAGTGACCCTGCACAGGGTTTCTGAGGCTGCAAATCTTTACAGGAACAGAAAGCCTCATCTTTCTCCCACTGGTAGTTCTGAACTGCCGACCTTAAGGTTAGCAGCCCGATTAGTAACCACTACACTAGGAGCAAACAGCAATTTACCAGTGGATTTACAGGTAACTATGTAAGCTCAACAAGCATGGGATGGCATGTGGGAATACACCCACAGAATATATAGATATAGCAGAGGGGGCTTTTCAAACAGTTTGTGGAAAATGTAATGAAAAGATAATGGAATTTTTACATGAACTTTTTGAAGTCCCCTCATAAGTACTTTATGCACTGCAAATATCTCCAGGTATATGGATAGTGTGGCGCTGTGAGTTAATGCACCAAACTGCAAAGTCGGTTTGAACTGCAAGGTCGGTGGTTCTGCTCCTCGGAAACCCTATACAGAGTAGCTATGGGTCAGAACTGACTCAACAGCGCTTAACAACAACACAACAACTTATGTATAGTAGAGCATACAAGGGACTCCTGTTATAGCACTGTAGTATAAACACTGGGCTGTGAACCACAAGGTCAGCGGTTCAAACCCATGAACTGCTTCTCAGAAACCCTGTACAGGGTTGCTAACAGTTAGAATCAACTCAATGGCAACTAACAACAACAACAACACAGGTGGCAACGTTGTGAAAACTCTTTAGCTATAACCATACACATTGAGAGAATGGGAGAGGCCTGGGAGCTCAGGACTATAGCCTCGGGGGACACCAACGTCCATTGGTGGAACCTCCAAGACTACAGCCCTTAAGACACGCTCCATACCTGGAACTGAACCCACTCCCAGAGATTCCATTTCACATAGACAGACCTACCAACAAGAAGACTGTGTAGAACAAAAGGGTAGCATTTGCCAAACCCTGCATTCCGAAGGCAGGAAGGGGCAGAGAAGATGTGCAGAAGGGAGGCCAGGGAGGAAGCCGGGAGAGTCCTGTTACATTGAGAGGACTGCAGCTAACGTCATAACACAACTGTGCATAAATTGTTTGACAAGACGCTAATTCGCTCTGGAAATTTTCACCCACACACAATAGAATGTCCTCCCAAATGAGACATGTGTGAAATATACGCATGTATATTAAAACTCGTCACAGTTTTAATCCTGTAAACCTCTTTTTCCCTCTTCCTCCCCTCCTTCCACTCTCAGATAATCTATGTGGCAAGAAACCCCAAGGACAATATGGTATCCTATTACCATTTCCACAGGATGAACAAAGCGCTTCCACACCCGGGCACCTGGGAAGAGTACTTTGAGAGTTTTCTGGCTGGGAAAGGTGAGAGAATTCACATTCATTTCCTTGTAAAAATAACCAAATACCTCCAAAACACAAAACCAGTTCCTTAGAAAAGCAGGGGCTCTGCCCTCTTTACCATCGTTGAGTGGATTCCGACTCATAGTGACCCTATATAGGGTTTCCAAGGAGTGGATGGTGAGCTTGAACCACTGACCTTGCAATTCAAATCGACCTTGCAGTCCTGTGCATTAACCCACAGTGCCACCCCAGGACTCCCTTCTTTGGTAAGAAGGAAGAATCAATGTAACATTGTCCTTCTCGTCAGGAAGTCTCTTTTCCAGGGGACATTTGTGGAACAGCTCTGGGACAGTTACAGAGTATCTTCAATTTGCTTGTTGTCACTTCTGAACTCATGGCCTTGTTTTCACCCCGTCTTCCAGTGTGCTGGGGTTCATGGTATGACCATGTGAAAGGATGGTGGAAAGCAAAGGACCAACACCGAATTCTCTACCTCTTCTACGAGGATATGAAGAAGGTGAGACACAGCATCATCTAAAGTGTCCCCATTCGACCACAGGACCTTTAAGTCATAGTGTATTGATCCCCATCAGAGACTGATGGATGAAAGCAGAGAACATACAATTGATGCAGTTGGTTGCTTAAAGATGTTCATGCATCAGAATGTCTATCAAAGACCATGAGTTGATGTATCCCATGGGATCACATGCAACTTCCTGGTACCCTAGCATATGCTGTTGTTGTTGTTGTTGTTGTTGTTAAGTACCGTGGAATCAGTTCCGACTCATAGTGACCCTACACAGGGTTTCCAAAGCTATAAATCTTTACGGTAGCAGACCGCCTCATCTTTCTCCTGTGGAACCACTGGTAGTTTCGAACTGCCGACCTTAAAGTTAGTAGCCCGATTCGCAACCACTACACTACTTTTCCCTTATTTGCAGATTACTGCAGAATATTAATGGTATCTCTTGAAACATTTTTCCTTTCATGTGCATTTTAAATTTCAGTTTTTAAAGAGAAAAAAATACTCTTAGCATCAGTGGCTACTTTTTTGTTGTTTTTTTCCTGTAAGAGGACTAGAAAACCAGTACTTTCAAGAAAGTTCTAATAAATGATGGTGTGATAGAAAGTACTCATGATTTAGAGTGGAAATTCTTGAATTCAAGTCCTGGCTTTACCATCCATGTCAATTATTCTTGTTAAAGATACTTCATATCTTGGAGACATGGTTTCCTTAAATACAAATTGAAGATAATATATAATCTTCTAAGAGCGCTTGTAGGGACTTAATAAGACAACGTTAATGGGAGTTCATTGTAAATGGTAATCTACTCAGGTACATTCTGTGAATCCAAAAAACACAGAAATCTACAAAGAATTACAATCTCCATTCTTGAATTTGCAACAGAAATTTTTGGTACTGAAAAGGTAGTTTATAGATTACATGGACTTGCATGGTCCTCCTCAGGCATACTAGGTCAGAACCCGTTGTTGGAAGATTCCAGGTGATTCACTTGTCCAGTAAGGCTCCGTCACTGCAAGGCCTTAAACGGTTATTTTTATAAAATATCAGTACATTGAATCATTTTTATATCTTTTTCTTAAACAGAAAAATTATAACATTCCCAGGATTCTCAGAATCACAATTAAAGAAGTATCAAAACAATCTATGAGTCTGTCCAGATAAAATACCCTCCTTTCTGTCTACCTGGAAACAAAATTACAGGGGTATAAAAATAAATTTAAAAACAGTAAATGACAAGAAAACATGCAAAAGGAGACCCTTGTTGCCCAGATCCTCAAAAAACGTATTGCATGTTTATGAGCTATATTCCAAGAGTTATCTACTTAGAGAGTTCCAGATACAGCTACTCTGTTAAGGAATATTATGGTGGGCACTGCAAATTGTAGTAAGGAAGAGTTTACTTTTTTTATGAGCTAGTTCAAATTCAAGGGATCATAGAAGAAACTGAGATTCCATTTATAATTCTGCATAGATGATACCCTACCATCAGATGTGGCACAGCAATGTCAAATAGAGGTATGTCTCTGGAAACGGGTCTTACACTGAGGTAGATCTCACTGGATTGTGAATGCCAGGAAGAAACTCTATTGAAACAAGAAGTCTAACTTCAAAGTATCTTTAATAAAAAAGAAGAAATCTTTTAAGTACTTACATGATCTTGTACTGAACTATCCCTCACTATGACGGCACTTAACAACAACAACAACAATAGGGAGTCCTGAGTGGCACTGTAGGTTAATGTGCCAGACTGCAAAGTCGTTTGAATTGCAAGGTCAGTGGTTCAAGCTCACCAGCTGCTCCTTGGAAACTCTATACAAGGTTGCTATGGGTTGGAATTGACTCGACGGCACTTCACAACAACACCATAATTTACAAAACGTTCACAGTCTTTAGCACTCTTTGTTTCTAATCCCCCAGCCTACCCCAGTCAATTAAAATGAGCACTTTCGATATTCAAGTTTTTCCATTTGTAGACACAGTGATCGGAGAGAGCTACTCCACTGAGGAATGGTATGGTGGAGAGCTGCATATTCCTTCTACTTTCCCTCCCCATTCCCTCCCTGTAGAAATAGGGGACGGACTTCCACAGAGCTTTGCAGACTTGGCTGTCCCTCTAATAAACAGTTGCTATTTTGGAACTAAAGCTCCTTTCAGAGAAATCTAACCACTTGGCCATACTGAGCACCAATAACCAAAGACATGTCTTGGCACATTCAGAAACCAACATTGTCCGTTCACTCCTTCTGCCATCACTTAGATGGCCTGCAGTTCCCATCAACGTACCAAACAGGAAAGAGTCTCCGTTTTCCCAGATCTCCAATCTCCTCCCCACATCTCCTGGAATGTCTTTATTGTTATTAGACTATAAACTCTCCCTGTTAGACACTGAGATGACCACGACTCCTCCCATACTGATTTGTACAGGACCTTTGTACATAATCTTTGACACATTCTCTTCCAGGATAATGACATACAGTGATCTGTCAGTGGTATACCAAGACAGTCTTGTTGATGCTTACATATGACAGAAATGGTTAATTCTTCCAAGTAATAAAAATACATGGTTAATTCTTCCAAGTAATATGGGTCATGATGGCGCCTAGCAACAATAAAGGTCACCATATCAAAATAAATCATATCTGGAATGTTGATTGCTTTCAAGATTTTTTTTTTTTTCAATTCTAATTCATCTCTCTGCTTTTTTTTTTTTTTTTTTAAACTCTGATCACAGAACCCTAAGGATGAAATTCAGAAGCTGGCAAAATTTATTGGAAACAACCTGGATGATGAAGTTCTAGATAGAATTGTCCATCACACTTCTTTTGATGTTATGAAGCTGAATCCAATGGCCAACTATTCACTGGTTCCTGTTGAGATCATGAACCATTCCATTTCTCCATTCATGAGAAAAGGTGTCTATACCTTATTTTGGTCAAAGTTCTAAAAGAATTGTTTCCTATTTCAAAACATTTGGGGGACTTATTTCTGTATGGTGAAACCAGTAATGAGATCAAAATGAGTTTATTGGAGGATGAGGATGTGATTTAGTGTGTAAATCCAAACCCCAGTGCCCACACACCACAGTTCTGATACAGTGAAAACAGAAGTTAGTCAAGTGTAGCCAAGAATCAATTTGACAGGAGACTAGGTGCTACCAATTCAAGCCATTCTTTCCACAGAAATTTAGTGAGGGTCTATGATATACCCAACCCTGTCCTGGACATTGTTCACATTAGTGAACAAAGCAGTCAAAAATCTCTGCCCTCACAGAAATTATATTCTTGCCATAAAATCAAAAAGCAAAACACTGGAAGATAAGAACCGTAGAGAAAAAGAAATCTGGAAAAGGTAACAGGAATTGTTGGAAGGACTAAAATGAAAGAATATCCACAAATCTTTCCTTTCACAAAACCATCCCTTGCGACCCTTCCAGAACAGGCCCGTCTTAGTCTTCTCCCAGTGTGGAAGGCACAGACATAAGCATCCATGACGCTTTGCTGCGTAAGGTGGGTCCCTGGGGCCTGCTGTTCTGACACAGTGGACTCGTTCCCGTGTTGATGTGGCTCAGTGGGTAAAACAGTCTCCCTCTTTTAGAAATCAGACAAGAAATCCTTCCCTCCAGGATAAGACAATGACAGGATAGCAAGAGAAATATTGTGTCCAACACTGCCTCACATGAAAGGTAGAAGAGAAACCATTACACCGAAACAGGAGACTAGAGAAAGTCAAATTCCCTCCACAACTCTTGCCTCTCTCCCATGTTCTGTTTCAGGCTCAGTGGGAGACTGGAAGAACTACTTCACTGTAGCTCAGAATGAAAGATTTGATGAAGACTACAAGAAAAACATGGAGGATACCAGTCTAAGTTTCCAGTTCCAGTAAAGAGGAAGGAAGGACTACACCTGTATCTGAAGGTTTATTTCACAGACCAAAGGAGATTGGATTTCATTGTGTTTGCCCTTTCGAGATAGCTGGTGTTGGGGCCAAAGTTGAGCGAACGGAAGCAAGAGTGGTAAAGTGGAGGCTAGGAATTCAATATATGACTAATTAAAATTGTGGTATGATTACCAATTATCACTACATTTAAGTCTTCTACAAATCATGTGCTTGTTACTATAGTTATAAAATGCTTCAGTTCTCACATTAAAAATAATAATCAGGCTTTCAGATCAGGTGTTAGAGCAAGATCAATTTTAAACAGAGACTGTGTCTTCCAAGAGTGGCCTGTATCCATGTAACCATCAGGTAACTCGGTTTCCCCATGAAGCCTTCCAGTTCGTGTCAGGCTCCTTAGTCTAAGGCATCTGTCCCCATCTCTGACCGGAGCCTGCGTGGTTAGCTAGACTCACTAACTAGACCCACCTGATGCTGACCGTGGGCTCGCTTCTCTCCTAAGACTCCACCGTCAGGTTCCAATCGCCAGGTAACAGCTACCCATTTGCAAAGTGTCTTCTTTCCATTTTAGCATGGTTTAACTTCTCATCCCTGAACCTCCTGGCTCAGAAAAGTTTTGCCTCTTACTGAGGCTACTAGACTAGTTTACTAATTCATCTCCCAGATCATTACACTTTGACCAAGGTGATTTTCATTACACCTGACTGATTACGCGGCTCTTTAGCTTCAAACCCTTCAGCGATTCTGAATCTTCACAGCCTGAGAAATAATGCCCAAACTTTGTAGCCTAATCTCAAATCAGTTACAAGCGTGATTCCAACTTTCCTTTTCGTCTTGATTCATCTTCCAAACCATGTCCTCACTGCAGAAAATCAGTCTGCTCACCGGGCTTGGATTGTGTCGACCCTCTCAGTTTTGCTAACATGCTTCCATCTAAGATACTTTTCTTTCCTTTCTTTCTGCCTACCCAAAGCATATAGTATGCTTTAATAACCACCTTGGTTTCCTCTCATTCTCTCTACAAATACTGTAACCCAAGGAGATTGCTTGCTCCTCTGAAGTCCTACACACTTGGTAGAAAATTCTTCAGTGATTAAGAATAAAGTATATTCTTCTCTACTGTATCACTTGTGTTCATTTAAATTTTCATTTATTTTCTCCCAACACAGAGACCTCACTGTAGTTCATTGCACCCAAACAGCATATAACATGCTAGAAAACAAGTAAATGTGAGATTATATCCACCAAGACAATTCTAAAAAGCTGACTTTTTATGTTGTTAAGAGCCTTGGAGTTGATTATCACTCATAGCAACCTTGTATTTGGTTTCTGAGGAGTGGCTGGGGGTTTGAACCACTGACCTTTGTTAGCAGTCCAGTGCTTACCCTACAGTGCTGCAGGATACTGCACTGGACTGAAAGCCACCTTGTGTAGAGTTTCTGCAGAGGAACTAGTGGATTTGAACCACTGACCTTGTGGTTATCCTACAGCACTACACCAAGTAGACAGCCCCTAGTACAAGTTATCATCTATAATGCTGCAGGAGTTCTGGGGGGTGGGGGGAGGTGCTGGGGGCTAATGTGCTGGACCACAAAGTTGGTTTGAACCACAAGGTTGGTGGTTCAAGCTCACCGGTTACTCCTTAGAAACCCTATACAGGGTCGCTATGGGTTGGAACTGACACAATGGCACTTAATAACAACAGTGCTTCAGGATAATGCACTGAACCGAAGAGGTGGTGTGAATTGCAAGGTCGGCAATTCAAACCCACCAGCCACTCCTCAGAAAGCATATACAGGGTCGCTATGAGTTGGAATCAACCCCACGGCACTTAACAATAATGCTGTCTGGACTCCTAGTGTGGCACTGTAGGATAAGCACTGGACTGAAAAACACAAGGTCAGCAATTCAAACCCACCAGCTGCTCTTTGGAAACTAGAGAAAGAGAGTGACTATGAGTCGGAACCGACTCAACAGCTCTTTACAACAACATGGTGCTGATACAATAGCTAATAGCCACATGTGACTCCTCAAGTTTCCAATAATTAAAATTACATTGCTCCTTTGCACTAGAGAATCCCAAGTGCTTAACAGCCACATGTGGCAAGTGACAACATGTAACCACATTAGGCAGGGCCGATGATAAAGCACTTCCCTCATCAGACAATGTTCTACTTTAACAATTCTCTGAGCTTGCCATCCTTATTTTGCAGATGACACAGTTTAAACTAAGGTTCTGAGATAGCAGGCAAATTGCCGCCTGCCGCCTGTTCATATTCCCAGGAAATGTAGAAACCTGCTCCAGACAATTCCAAGGGCTCCAAAGACTGAGTTTTTAGCTGCTCACAATTGATCCTCTCTTTTCCGGGTCCTGTGGCAGCTTCCCCACAAGTGTCCTGCATGATCCTGTCCAGTCCCTGAGCCAATGAGAATCCAGATTGGCAAGCTATTGGCCTTTCCATCCATGATTACATGGCTTAAAATGATTAAAAATAGTCTATTGTAAGATCTACACCACTCTTGTTATCGAAATGCTCCGAGGTAGACAGAGTCCTAAGCCCATAGCAGGCCCTCACTCACTGTTACTCTACGCCCTTTATTTACTTCAGCGCCCAGTCCACCACACAAGGAGGCTTCAAAGGGTCAAACACAATGGAATTGTCCTACACGTTTTTAAGCCCCCTTGTTATCTGTTTCCCCATAAACTTGGGCATGGCAGGGATGTGAAGGAACCTGAGATGGGCCCCAGTGCCTTCTGTGACTCTGTCCCAAGTCTCCATGGATGCTCAAGCTACCGTGCCCACCCCCAGGATTCCACAGTTCATGCTCTGCCCTGTTCCCTTGGACAGCATGCCCGGGCATACACAACTCAGGAAGGCAGACAGGAGCACGCCCATGACTGCTGGACTTTTGACTTTGCACTCAAGCAGCGGTCTGCTACCTTCCTCTACACCACCCTCCACACTCCCAGCAAGCCAAACCAATCCCATAGGCTGGATAATAATAGCCCAGTCCCAACTGTGCCAACTAAAACTAGCCTTCCCTCATCCTCTCCGAGCTAGTCTTCTGAAACTGGAGACTGTTGTAGGCCATGGAGTTTCCTAGGCTGTAGTCTTTATGGGTAGAGCCCTGGTGTCACGGTGAGTAAAGCATCTAGCTCATCTAAAGGTCAGCAAAGCCATCTCACCAGCAGCTCTGGGGGAGAAAAGTACCACAGTCTGCTTCTGTAAAGAGTTACAGCCCGGAAAACTCGGTGGGCATTCTGCCCTGTCCTAGAGGGTCTCTATGATCTGTAATCAACTCAACACCAAAGGGGTGTGTGTAGTGGGCTGAGTTTTCTTTTCTTTTGTTTGGGTTTTGGGTTTAATCTTTCTGGGAGGACACCGGCAGGTCTTTTCTCCCTCAGAGCAGGTGGTGAGCTTGAACCACCAACCTTTCAGATAGCAGTCAAGCACTTAGCCATTGTATCACCAGGGCTCCTGAACTGCTCACGAACATATTAGCCTCAGGTCTCTGAGCAAGACCATTTTCATTTCAGCGAGAATCACAGTACTGCATTTTGGAGCCCTTTAGAAACATGAAGTCTTTCAGTACATGGTACACATTCTGTGCTTTCATACATCTGAGCACTAACCAAAGAGGTCTTGGTCTAAAGTAACAAAATATTCATGAAAGTACAAACTGTGACGGCCAATTCATGTGTCAACTTGGCTAGATTCTTATGCCCAGTTGTTTGTTCAAACCCTAGGTAGGCTCTGCTTTGAAGTCCTTCTAGGTGATTAACTCAGGAATGCAGATTGTCCGCCATAGTAAGACTGGGGCTCAACTAAACAGTTGAAGGTCTTAAAACCAAGAAGGGAGGTTACCCTAGTGGAAATTCTATCTCCAGACTATAACTAGACATTTTTCCAGAACTCTCTCAGTCTCCACCCCTCATGCCACCTGACCTACACAGTTTAGACTGGCCAGGCTTCCCACCTCCAACACAATCACATAAGCCAACTCCTTCAAATATTGATAGACAGATCTATAAATAGAGATAGACATATCACTGGACACAAATGAAGAGATGCAAGAAGTAAATTAGTGAAAGGAAATGTCTGTGTGATGATTCTATGTAAAACAATCTTGTGTGACTGAATGGCCTCGTGATACAACCAGGTTTCTGTCCACTGGTGAGGGACCAATATGTACATACATTTTTTTAAGTAACATGTGCTAATTCAAACTAGTCCAGTGTTGGATGAAATACTAACTCACTTTATGATTAGAAAGATACCAAATAAATAGAAAATAAGAAATCAGATGAAAATTCCTGAGCTAGAAATCAAAGTTAGATATGAGACGTTTTATTTGAGGCAACTCCACTTAATCTCACATATCTAAAGAAGTCAGGCTTTTAGATGGACTGAGATTTGCTGCCAAATCCATTTGAAATAATAGGAGAAATAATCATATAAGAAAGTCTTACATCTAAGAAAACTGGAAATTGTCAAAAATAAAATTAAACACAAAAAGATCTATATCCTAGACACAGATGAGCTAAAATGGGCTGACATTGGCCATTTTTTATCCTACAATAGAATGATTTACTATATTGATAATGACTAACTCATAAAGAATGACATCACAGTCATTATCGAAAAGAACGTTTCAAGATCTATCTTGAAGTACAATGCAGTATTGTTGTTGTTGTTGTTAGGTGTCATCGAGTTGGTACTAACTCATAGCGACCCTATGCACAACAGAACGAAATACTGCCCAAACCTGAGCCAACCTCACAATTGTTGCCACGCTTGAGACCACTGATGCTGCCACTGTGCCAATCCATCTCACTGGGGGTCTTGCTCTTTTTCTCTGATCCCCCACCTTACCAAACATGATATCCTTCTCCAGCGACTGGAGTATATATACACCTAAAAGGAGTCCTGGCGTGGCCCTGTAGAATAAGCAGAAGACAGCAGTGTTGGTTTGAACCACAAGGTCTG